GGGAAAATAGATGACTGGTCTTTAATAAAACGGGAAATTTTAAAGCAGGATCTTTTTAGGGGCCAGGAGAACCAAAGGTGCCTATTTTGGAAATGTGAATTTGAAGACCACAGTAGATATCATTTTAGAAATGTGAAGTCAAGGGCTGGGAAGTTGGCTCAGTGGTAGAGCGCTTGCCTTGCATGCCTGAGGCCCTGGGTTCGATTCCTCAGCACCACATAAGCAAAAAGAAAAAAGCCAGAAGTGGCGCTGTGGCTCAAGTGGTAGAGCGCTAGCCTTGAGCTGAAGAGCTGAGGGACAGCGCTCAAGCCCAGAGTTCAGGCCCCACGACTGGACCCCCCTCCCCAAAAAAAAAAGAAATGTGAAGTCAAGTTGTAAGACAAAACAAGTGTTGAAGTTGCAGCTGTGGAGCTTGGGGACCAGGTCCTGGCCAGGATATACTTGAGGGATCAATCTGTGTGTAAAAAATACAAGCATGCTGAGAACAGTGGAGAAGATGCCATGTCCAGGCAATGAACTCTGCAGAACTTCACCAGTAAGATGGTAGGGAGATAAGCAGGAAGCTAAGATAGAGTGAAGGATCAGGCCAGGGAAATGTCCTGAAACCGGATAGGAAACCATAGGACTGACCGTTAAGTATGACACCACTGATCCTTTAATAGAGTGATATCACAGAAGTGAGTGGCCTGACCCGGAAGGCTTTTCAGCTGGACTGGTTGGGTGATCAGAACGGGTTATAGAGAAATTAGGAAAATGGGAATTGACAACAACACACAGGGAAGTGTTTTTAGGATTTTTTTTTCTCAAAGAGAAAGCAATAGCTAGGTTGTAAACACATGGGAAATTAAGATCCACAGGTCAACTTTTACTTGAGACAGTAGATATTCCCATTTTTACATCAGAGAGGGAAGAACAGAAGCTACTGACACAAGACAGAAGACCTGCTTAAGAACAACAGGACAAACGAATGGAATGGAGCTTTGCCACGGCTGGGTCACGGGCCCCAACAAAACTAACCATCCTGGCTGCCACGTCGGATTCTACATCTGCCCTGTTTGGCCAGTGCCTCCTTTTTACACAGTACCTATAACAAGGAAGACCCCTGCAATGAAAGAGAAATATTACCATTCTTAAAAAGTGTGTGGCCTCTGGGCTTTGAACACCCATGTGGATTAGTCAGAGGCCTGGCAAGTGCCTTAGATCCAACCATCTAAGTCCTCATCAGTGGAATGTGAGAACTGTTCACTATTCCTGAACACTAGTATATGAAAAGACAGTGGTATTTACTTCCCAGAATCTGCCAGCCATTTATTTTCCCAACTATTTTTTCTGCTTTGGTTTAACCAATAGTGGTCAATGCTGAGGTTTTAAGCAGAAGTAAGTGATGATGACTTTGATCCTTTTGTGTCTTGTGAGACTAAAATAGACACACACACACACACACACACACACGAAAGCCACACGAAATGCTCACATGTTAGCAGTGGATATGCATGGACTCTGGAGGTCTGCAGCCCTGAAGCTGAGAAGCCTCTCCAATCCTGGAGACAATCAGGAAAACCCGAAAAGCCCATGAAATCCAAACATACAAACACTGAGTCAATCTTATGCCTTTGGGAAAGTCCTGCCACAGGATCTTACATGGAGTTGATAGAAGAGGCAGCATCCTTATGCACATGTAAATCTTCAAATCCTAGCAGTTAACCCCATATGCATCTGCCCCTTTAATGGACATTTGAGAATAAACATGCACCCTGTTTCTAGCCTGACTTGGGCAGGGAACTGAGAAAGGAAAAAAAAAGATTCTGTACCTCACTATGCATCTGTGTTTCACAAATATTTATAGTGCTCATAAAGCTGGTGACCTCTCAGACGATAGCACACTTGGCAGACACTCATCTAAACAAAAGGGAAAAGGGGCCAAATCCCAACAGAAGAGGACAGAGGGTGATACGGGCCCCCAGGCTCCACAACGGGAGTTCCAAAGCATTGTAACGTGGACAATGCAAGAGGACCAGGGAGCTGCCAGTTCAACTTTGGTAGCACAGAGCGAAATGCATGTGACACAACAGATCAGGTCTGCAGAGGCCTTTCCAGACCACCTCACAAAGTTTTTCTACAGGGTGACTCAAAATCAGGACAACAATAATGAGTGACATTATTAAGAGTGACAGGCTAAATCTTTGTCCCCAAAATACAACCGTTCCGCATGTACAAGCAAGAGCTGGAACTTATACCAACAACACATACAGAAACAAATTTAAACTATCACAACATTCTTAGTAGAAAAATGACACACAAGAAAATTGTTATCAGCATTTTCTTAAGTATACTTAATCTCTTTGTCCAAACAGTCAGTGTGGTTTAAACACATCATGATCTATTTTATGACCTCCCTCCCTCCAAACCTACATCCATTCACTTTCTTTATGTTGTAGGCAAGAAATATAAATAGCAATAAAAATAAAGACTGGAGCTCTGGTCCATGCCCGGGTTCATGCACATGTCAAAAAGGACAAATCTAGATACACACTTTCAGGAAAAAATAAACATGAAACAATTGTTGCAAGCTCATTGCAAATAGGTATTGTAGATAAGTGCCTGGACATCTGCACGTGAGGTCAAAGACCTATACATCTGAGATCTGATGAACATCACCCATCTTCATACTCATCACATAAACAATAAGGAAAAAAAAACCACTGTGTCAGGGACCAATCCTAGCAAATGAGGAGCTGAAATCTGAAGATCACAGTTAGAAGCCAGCCCAGGTAGGAAAGTTCATGAGACTCAAATTTGTTGCCAACTAAAAGCTAGAAGTGGCGCAGTGGTTCGAGTGGTAGAATTACAACCTTGGGCAAAAAAACCTAAGAGCTCCTAGGCCCTGAGTCCCAGTACACACACGCACGCACGCACGCACGCGCGGTCACTGACCCGCGATAAAGGGAGAGGGAAAGGGAACGGGAAACGAAAGGGAAAAGGGAAAGGAAAAGGAGCACCACACCAAAAGTTAAACCTAAGGATATGTGAAAAGCACAGCATTCATCACGCTTTGCTTAACCATGAGGAACTGTAAAAACATGAAAGAATTTCTGTTGTCTGGTAGTAGACGAGGTCGCCACTGTAGGATAAAAGAATGAGCATCTGGGACCTCCCCACTATGTACAAGTATTTTCTTTGTCTAAACATCCTAATTAACCTAAAATGGGGCTGAGAGCTGGTAGCTCACATCTTCAATCCCAGCCACTGAGACCTGAGAATCATGGTTCAAAGCCAGTCCTTCACATTCTAGCTCCAATTAACCATGAAAAAAGATAAACAGGTGACGTGGCTTAAGTAGTAAAGCATGAGCCAAAAAAAAAAGCCTTACTGAGAACCTGGATACTGGCAGAAAAAGCATTTGAATTGGTTGATTGGTTTTTGTTAATGAGAAAGAAGAGAGTCAGAATGAAACTGATAGCAATTTAAAAATGAATATCTAGTTTTACATAACTACTCTGTACATTTAAAAGTTGGAAAGTTTAATGAAATCAGAAGAAAATAAAAAGAAAGTTACATAAATTTCTATGCACTGAAATAAGAAAAAATGACATTGTTAACATGGACTTCTTTAAGATGATAAAATTAATAAGCACAAGAAACAAGCAAAACTTTTAGATAAGCTAATAAGTTAGATAACAAAACCAAATCAATCAAATACTAAAAGCATTCACATTATTAAAACTCAAGTCCTAAAAGGTGTTAAAAAATGATGAGGGCTGGGAAGGTGGCTCAGTGGTAGAGTGCTTGCCTTGCATGCATGAGGCCCTGGGTTTGATTCCTCAGCACCACATAAGCAGAAAAAGCCAGAAGTGGCGCTGTGGCTCAAGTGGTAGAGCGCTAGCCTTGAGCTGAAGAGCTGAGGGACAGCGCCCAGGCCCAGAGCTCAGGCCCCATGACTAGCAAAAAAAAAAAAAAAAAAAATGATGATTCTCAATAACTAAACAGGGACAAAACAATCTTCACACTTGTTTGTTCTCCAATTCCTTCCTGGTATAATGCCTAGTTATCACTTAAAATTAACAATTAATTAATGAACAAACAACAAAATACTTAAAGAAGTGAATTTCACTGCACATTGACAAAAACATTTTTATGTTAAAGTAAGGTGTATCACAACATACTATTATATATAAAACATGTTTTGTATATATATATATATCTATATATATATGTATGTATGAATATATAAAACATCTCTACAAAGTCTATTAAAACTCTTGGTTTTGAAACAGTAAATCAACTATAGTTAGTCTGCCTTAATTGATTACCACTTAATTAAAAGAAAGCTTTATGACAATAATTGCTATTATTTATTAAGCATGACTTCACATGGAGCCTTATCAAACTAAAGCTTGATAAATGCAGGATGGACATCGGAGGCATAACTCTTTGAACAATTAGCTGACAGTTTAACAAAATGAATACAAGGGAGCTGAAGTATGCTATATGTGAAGGGGTGGAGCTTCCAGACAGTGGGGCAGAGGAATGGAGAAAGAAATGTCGGGCAAAGAAAGCAATAGTGGGAAAATACAATCAGAATCCCCAAAGTACATAGGTCAACATGAAACAAGGTAAATTGAGAGGACTGGGGTTAGGAGAGTTGGGGGAGATTGATGAAGAGGTGACACTATGAAGATGTATTTTACTGATAAACTGACATGCCGAGTTGAATAACCATTTAAAGATAAAAACCAGAAAAATTAAAATAAAATAAACCAGGACAGAACACAAAAGGAAGCAACAGATAGATAAAACTAAAGCCTCATGAGTCACACAGGCCCTTCCCACACTTTGTTTGCTCTGAGACTTCACAGGAGCAAGATCAGCCCTAGATAGCATTGCTTTAAAGAAGAATCCTCCTCCTGAAAGCTTGTTCCCTTGCTGACAATTTTCAAGCAGAGGCATGTCAATAGAGAATACATCCAGTCCCTCACTTCCCATTGAGATGTTTTACTTACCAAAAGGAGATGGGATGGAGTGGAGGCCACGTGCCCTCAGTCATGAATTACCCGAGTTCTTCAGCCACATGGGCACTCCAACTCTTTTCTGACACCAACCCTTCAAAAGAAAAAAGAGAGAGGAAGAGATTGAGCCTATTAGTTTATTTTAAAAGAAGCTGTAGTCACTAATTGGTCATCAATTCTACAGAGTTCCACTAATGTCCAAACAGCTTTAGCATCCCTAGTCTACAGAAGAGAAACACAGTTCAGGCTGGTGATCACCAACAGGAGAATCTGAGTCAGTAACATGCACACCAATGGATTTCTTCCTTCTAAAACCAGGGAAATAAAAAACTTAATGCTGTTCAACATATAAAACTTTGGTGGGGAGGGGAGGAGGAAGATTGGGTGGGGGGGAAGGATGGGAAGGAGAAACAAAGGAGGAGGCTACAATGCTTGATAAGAAATGTACTCATTATCTTGCCCATTAATTGTAACCCCTCTCTACAGTATTTTCACAATAAAAAAAGCTATAAAAAAGAAAAGAACTCTCACAAAACATCCAAAAGAATCATTGTCTCAAACTAATTGTAATTACTTTAAGCAGTTAGAAAATAAAATTGTAGCAATTTTATAATAGCTTACTCCATTTTTTTGAAACATAAAGTACATAAGAAGATGTATTTCAAAAAAGAGATAAAGACAATAGGTATAGAATAATACCAGAATTGGAGTTTACCCTTTTATTTACACATTTATTATTTGCTTGTGCACAACTAAGGCTTGATTAAAAAGAAATACAAATCACAGAAACAACTGATTTTATGGAAGCCTAGAAAACTGGTTGGATTTCCTGATCCAACACAGAAAATTAGAAAAACTTGACTTCACAATGGAATGGTCCATTAGGAACGCAAAGGTAGACCTTGAAGAGATGGATGACTTCCCAAGTAATCCTGTTGTAGGAAATGTGTCAGCTGCTTATGAAGATGCCTGCAGTGACAACACACATCCAGACTTTGGCGTTTTCTCTTCCTTTGTCACTCACTTTGTTTCTTTTGTTCTACTCCCCACATTGGACAGATGGACATGTAAAAACATACCAATGTCATTCATCCATCTTCTTTCTCTCTTTCATATTCTCTCTCTTTCATATTCTCTCTTTCATATTCTCTCTCTCTCTCTCTCTCTCTCTCAAACACACACACACACACACACACACACACACACACACACACACACCCCAACCCACACTGGGAGCAGCTGAAAACTATGAAGATGAAATAGAGAGAAAGCTCTCCCAGAACATTCTGGCTATTCCTGCAGGCAATGAGTCCCATGTGGTCCACTTCAGTAATAACTGAAAGGCCCTCAGCCTCCAGAAAATAACCTGAATTATAGCAGCTGGATAAAATGTTGGATATGCTGAACTGCCATTGTGGAAGGCCTGGGGTCCAGAGGCTAGAGAATTGTGATTAAGTGGCTTGGGATCTGCATGAGGATTCTAGTGTCCAGAAACTGCCTTTGTTGACCATCAACATCATGGGTAACAAGAGTGTGACACACATTTAGAAGTGCCCACCATCAGTACAAGATGCCCAAGAGCCCAGGTGCACTCAGACTTCACAGCACCGCCAATTCCAAGGGCTCGACTGAGCCTTCAAAAGCCGGTGACATAATCTTCTGGAAATGACAAGGTGCAGATGTGAGAATCTTTGAGGCCAAAGAAGGGTCAAGGAGCAATTCCCACAGTAAAGAGCCATAGTCAGTTTAGAGTGTTTCCTATAACAGCATGTTAAATAGAAACAATGATGTAACTCCTCTGAACAACTATTTAACAAAATAGCAGGGAAGCTAAAACATCTTTGGGGCAATGGGGACCACAGGATGACACGTGAAAGGAGGGGGCAGAGTGAACACATGTAGTCATTTTATCCTACACACATATATAAACCTGGACTACACATCTTGAGGGCGAGGACGGGGGGGGGGGGGGGAGGGGGGCGATGAAGGATGGGGTGATACTGATCAAGATGCACTGTACTCATAACCTGACATAGAATTATAACTTCTTCATACAACTACTTAATAATTAAAAAAAATAAAGACCACTGGCAACATAAAAAACAGCATGTTTGAGTTGTCTCCCTTGAGCACTAAAATCTGTTTTACAACAATTATAACTAAAATTGCCTTATAAGTTGGTCTAGGTCTCAACTGAAATTTAAGTATTGAAGTTGGACAGATTTGCTGGTCCTGGGCGTGGATACAGAGCAGTGTTTATTAGCCCCTATATGTGAGCATTAAATTAAAAACAGGGCTGATGCTCCCTATCCTCCAGAGCGCCCAAAAGAAAAAACAAACAAACAAAAAAAAAACATGAATTCAGGCCCAGTAACACAAAGAGGAAGTGAATACTCAGGGAGATTATTCCTGATGACTCTGGCTGGCTCCAGGCCTGAGCAATCACATCCTGGAGAGCCAGATAGCCCTGGTTACCGCCCCCCCCCCCATCCCACACACACACCGCCCCCTTTCCCTCTCCCCTGCCTGCCCCCATTTTAACAGATGTTAGAAACCCAGCCCAGCCCTTAGCAAAGCCAACATTCAAGGAACAGAGCTCCCCTGACTGGAGGAAAATGCAATGGGAAGTCGATCCCGGCCTCGGGATTTAGGAGCACAGCCCTGCAGTGTTCGAACCTTAACCTGTGTTTAAACCAACAGTGAAAAGAATGTTTAGCAGCCCAGTTCCTGGCACCATGCATGACGCTATGGGACTTTCTGCACCCAGAAGGACACCCCCATTCAAGGACACACCAAGAACATCATGATGCGAAGGTGGCCTCAGGCCGACAGCACAACAGAAAGGTGGAGCCCTTGGGCAAGAGTCCAGCGAAAGGAACAGAGGATTCTTCTGATCCAGAAGCTCAGCAGCCTGTGCCATGCGGCTTCCAGTGGTGTCATCAACACACAGATGCATAACTCACAACACGCTCTTCTAGAAAACTAGGAAGGAAGTCAAAGGTAAAGAAGTTACAAAGCCCCAGACACTCACCCACACACTTTATGAACTTCGCTTTCCCTGTTTGGCTCAGTTCCATATCACCCTGTTTTCTCTTTTTGCTTAGTATTAACCTTGGCACAACCTCACAGCCCTCACTGTCATAAGTCTCAATTAGAGTCCTTCTTTGGGGGGAAAACACCTGTCACTATAAGCATGTGTGCAGAAATATTACTGGAATGCTTGGTTTGCAAACAATCAAATATTTCCCAGAAGTTTTACCTTTACAGGCTTTGAAAATATCTGCAAATAAAAATGTCTAAATAAAATTTAAACACCAATTATAACTTACTAAGCACCCATCAGCACATGGCGTTCTGCTAAAATATGCGATTTTTTTCTCTCCACTCTCCTCAGAAGGAGGTGAGACATGGGTTTATACACCTTGTAGAAATCAAAGGTCAGCTAAGTAACAACCTTAATTCCAGAGATTCATGAAACAAATTCACATTTCAGGCCAAAAGCTCAAGTTGCCAATTTTACAACAATAAAACTACCCTGGATATAAAATGAAAATGGACAGACTACCTGGCATCATCATAAAGTCAAGTACAGTAGTAGACAGAAAACCCAATTAGATACGGACTCAAGGACCCAGCAAACTACTAGACCAAGATTTCCTATTCAAGAATTTTACCAGTGGCCATGAAGCCTAATTGGCAGGCTTCTTGTCATTAGCCAATCTGTTAACCACAGAATACCATATGGTCATGCATGCATGTATGCATTTTAAGTTGCTAAAAGACAAAGCAAGAAGCAGTGGGAGAGGCAGTCACACAAGACCCTGCATGATACTGCTGCAAGAGAAGTTACTTCCAAGTGGAAGAACTGATGAAAACTTCCTGACAAAAGCTATGTGTGACTGGGTCTTGATGGGTGAAAAGAAGATGGGTAATGCATTAGAAGAGATAATGAAGTTTGTCTCAGTGGGGGTGCATTGTATTTGAAACCAATGCAGGATTGGCCAGGAACCCCCGAGAACCATCCAATTGTAGTCAAGAGCTAATCTGGTCAGAACACGCTGAGTTTGGAGCACCCATGTCTGGTACTGACACTGGCTTGGGTAAAGAGATGGAAACTCATCCACGAGGACACTTGAGACAAGAGTTTGCAGGAATGAAGAATGAATGCGGATACGTGAAACAAAGCCAATGCAGTTAGGTGGAGAGATCAGCACTACAAAGAAGTGAGAGTCACAGTCAGAAAGCTGGCCTCCCGCTCAAACCTGCAGAGGAATGCAAGGAAGTAAACTGTTACCTTCAGTGAGAGGCTCAGGAAGAGGAAGCCCAGGAGAGCAACACTGAGCAGGAACATGGGTTCCAGCATCCTTTCAAGGCCACATCCGGCTACCTGGCAGGAGTCTCCCAGGAGCCCACGGAGGGCAAAGTGAGGACAGGACTGTAAGGAATGTCTTCATGGAAGAGGGATGAAGGAAAGCAGGATGACTATGTCCAATGAAACATCGAGATGACAGTGGGGTTTCAAGAAATCAATATGGCGGCCTGGGAAGGGCAGAAAGGAAAGAAAGGGAGGGATGCAGCTGGAAGCAACCACCAGGCAGGACTCTCTCACTGTGAAATACATTTCGAAACATTATGCATCGCCGAGAATCCAGAGGAAAAGAAAGACAGAAACTGGGGACTTCATTTCTCAGAGCAATGACTGATCCTAACAACATTTGGGAAGAAAGAAATCCAATTGTTCTCCATTTAGTCTTTGTGCAGATTATCCTTTGGTGAGTACTTATACCCCGTAGTAAATGCTGACCCTGGAATCAATACATTACCTCAATAACTGGACTAAAGCTGGAGAAAACCACTTTCTATTGCATGACCCCCAGTGGAACAATGAGCGTGTTCTGAGCTGGAAAGAGGTCTGGGAACAGTGAGGAAGGGAGCTCAGTGGGTCAAAACGACTTCTTTATTAAAGCTAACGGTTACCAAACACAAAGCAACTGTTCAAAACCACAACCTTCTTTGTTCTTTCCCTGAGGACAACACAGTTTTCGAA